CTATAAAAAATGACTTATTCACTAAAGCAATAGTTTTAACTTATGCTCTTAAACTTTTACCTACTTAAGGCTTCAACTAGATCAGTTTTTTCATAACAATTTGGAGAGTTTTGAGCAATATCTGTCTGAGAGAAATTATGCTGAAATACTTTTAAATTGTTTAAACAAGCTACTCTAGCTGAAACTTCAATTTGGTGAGAATTTCAACTCAGAATTTAGAAGTATAGTTTTACTAAAGGAGGAATATTAAAGACTTTATGAACGAAGTCTCTTGAAGTCTATCGAAATCCGCTGTTTTTTTAGGTGTAATAATATAAAATTGTATAATTTTCAGAAAACAAAATGCCTCATTCTCAAAATTTACTTATTGATCAAAGTTGAATAGTGAGATACAATAGTATCTGAGCTGATAAGTGCTCGAGAATATATGCGAGCGTAAATATCAATCTTCTTTTCACTTGCACCCCATACCTACTCTGAAGACTTTAATGAATTCTAGCGATAAATATAGCAGTAGATACAATATTTATTACTTTAATAATAGGGCCAATGACATCGATAGCATCAACTACAATAATATCAACCAAGCCAAGTATAACAATATCACACAAATCAACAATAATAGTATCAACCGAACCAACTACAACAATATCAACTACAACGACTACAACAACATCAATTAAATCAACTACAACAGTATCAACCGAATCGACTACAATAACATCAACCAAATCAACTACAACAAGCACATTAAGCACGGTAGCAACACCCGGTGAGTACTAAATCAAACAAAACACCACATGAGTTAAATATTGCTAGACCTTAGGGAAAAATTAGTAACTATAATTACCACTTATTTTAGTTGATAGATATATACGTATAAAGTGTGAGCATCGATTCAATCTAAACCTAAAATAATGTAAAATATTTGAATTTTGCCAAGTACTTAGAGATTTTGGTTTTATAAAGAATCATCTTATCAGAAGTAAAAATATTTCTTGTTCAAATTTGAAAGTGCTGTTTTTCATGTAAATATAAATCTGATGTTAGTCGATTTTCTTGTGATTTTTCTCAGAAAAATGATTATAATCTGTTTTCAAGCTTCTTTTTTTTCTTGTACGCGTGATATCGTTATTGAAGTATGTTAAATCTGAATATTTTATGCCGATTTACTTTGAAAGTTTTTAAAAGTCAATGAACTCGATTACACTTAAGATTTTATTTGTTTGGTTTGTGAAAAATACGAACCACTTTCATTTCTAATACATAATTCAGAGAAGTTTTTTATCATGTATTTATCCTTTATTTATTGATTAGTTTGTGGTATCTGTTATGGCGCCTCACCTAACTGTTGTTACACATGCCAAGACGTTATAGATGCTTACATAGAAGTAAACTGGGCTTACAATAAAGATGACTTTGAACAATGTAAGCAATGACAGAAGAACGTCTTTTTTCTACAGTTTTATGACTCATCCTTATGGAATGACGATAACGAAAAGATTTGGCACAAACAATTTCAATAGATTTAAACATTTTTTCCTTTATTTTCATCCTGTTATGAGTGAAATCTTTGTACCTCTTTTGCTTCTTTTTATCCATAATCAACATACAGAGTAATATGTATAACCTTACTTACTTTCAATTCATGTAACTAATTTTATTTAATGATGCTTTTGTTCTAATTTTTGATGCATTATTTGCTTTCGTTTGTTCTTGTGTCTTCTGTGCAATCAATTCAAAACTTTTATTCTATGTAGTTTCTTTTTGAGCTTTTGGTAAATGTTTCTTAACTTTTATATGTTGTTAATTTTTCTCTCTATAAAAATATTTGATTTGTATAGCTTCTGACGATCAATATGATAAGCGATTTCTTAGGGTTTGGATGACATGATAATCAGGGTGAGTCTGGGTGACGATTCATGTGAAGGTATGAAGGTGAAGTTGATCATCATCTTTTGTCTCACTCACGCCGCTGACTTGTTTCTCATTTATAATTGAAAAATCCATTTGAATCAGAGATGTCTATCTGTGCTTGGAAACTCACTGCTACTTAATTGTAAAGAATATTAGATCATTGATTTGTATTATACGACTGTAATTATATCTGAACAGAACGATTGCTACAAATCGATAAAATATGTCCATTGTCAGATTGTTGTCCTTACAAACATTGAATTTATGTATCTTCATGCTGTTTCTCAGAAAATTCATTGCGTTGTGATGGACATTTCTACTTCTCATATATCTGATAAGTTTCTATTTAAAAAATGAGCTTTGACAAAGCAAATTATTTAACAGACTCAAATAAAAAGGCATCAACTTAATTATAGTTTATTCATTGACATCAGCCATTTATTGACGATGATAGTTGATATTTTATTTTCAGCTGAAACACATACAATAATTAATCTTGATTTTGATCAATTCTCTTCTGTTTTCATCATGTTCTTCTTCATTAAAATCAACAATGAGTGTGGGTGTAGGTGAGTGGGTGTAATGGGTGTGGATGTAGGTATAAATACTATATTCACCTAGCACGCACGCATACCCTCCATCACCTATACCCCTTCTGCGAATACAACTTACTCTGATTCTTACATTCTACCTCCTGAAAGAGTTGTTTTTTTGTACATTGTTACACTTTTTCCCGGGAAAAAACTTTTCCGTCATCATAGTTATGTTCTCCTTATTGGAAGAATGTTTTTTACTCGCTTCTGCATTCTCCCTCTAGAAAAAAACTTATTTTCTCTCATCCTCAGATTCTTTTCCGGAAAAGAAGTTTGTCTACCATCATTCATGCATAGAGGTGTAAGACGTCGGCTTGAGCGCCCGTCGGCTCTAGTAAAAACGTCAGATGCCAGTCGTCGGCTGCAGCAAAAATGGACTGACGGCTTACACCTCTATTCATGCATTCTCATTGGCAGATGGTATTTTTTTTGCTCTTATTTCTATACTCTCCTGCCTGAAAGAAATATATTTCTTTTTACGTCAGTGTTTTACGCAAAAAAAACTTGTCTATCATTGGTCTTATAATCTACATATTGGAAGAAATATTTTTTGCTCTCATTATTACATTTTCTTTTTCAGAAAAAATTATTATCACTCTCGTACGAAGAGAAGGAAATTATTTCACAAGTCAGTAGTAAGTAATAAATGTAATGTTGTCTTTTTGTCTTTCAGTGGATAGATGTAAAGACCAAAGATGCATTCGAGTACTTATCGATTCAGTAGAATTTTCAACTAGTCGAGCTAGTAAGAGTGAGCAAAACAGCTTCATCTTCATATAACTTAGCGCTAGTATAAAAGAAATAATCTACTTTACCACATTAAGTACCATGCGAATTTTAGGATTTAACATAAGAAATAGTGTGAAGACCTCTTGAGAGTGGGTGTGTAGATGTGAATGTATGTGTTAGGTGAATACAGTATCCATACCCACACCCACACACCCTCAAAATAGTATTTAACTATTTTAAAAATTGTTATACAGATAGCTTTTCGGATCTCACTACGTTAGTCAGATTACTGTACCAAAATTTTGAGAACAAAGATAGTTTTGACAAGTTCGTATTGCATCTGCCAATAGTGACTTTAATTGAAGAAAATAGCTAGAGAAAAAAGCTGAGTTTGAATATTATGGACACCTGTTTCCCGCGCCGCAGGATAATAGAGAAGGAGAGCTTATGATTTCTACGCTTAACTGTTACCTCGATTTTTTTGCAGAGCCTTCTAAAGAGGAAGAGTAGACAAATAAAAAGTGACTCATGCTTTTCTTTTTTCTGTTTCTGACTGTTTCTTATCATATATATAATAGCTATTTCACTTATTCAAATTTTATCTTCCTCTTCTATCTTATTTATTACTCAATAGATCGTAATATGTGTATATTCTCGTGCACTTCTCGTTACATTTCAATGACATTTTCTTTTGGCATTAATACTAAAATATTAGAAACTTAACTTGAAAATTCTAAAACGCAATCGTAGCCGAACTTTTCATTAGCATCTTTCACAGCGGACTTATTTTTTTTCATAAAAAAAATGAAACTCTATCGCAAAAATCAATTACATTTTGAGTGTCATTAATGGTCATAACCTCCCCTCTCTCATATTAGAAGCCCCGAGGGGCTTTTAATTTGTCCATCGTTTATAATTTCTGCAGAAGGCTTCTATTAAGTCCCAAAACATTTTTATAGACCATAATACGAAAATCGATTCGAAAGATTTCTAAATATTTTCAAGGTTTTCATGTGTTTTTCAAAAGATTTTAGACAGCTTTTTCAGATTTAAGCACAGTTAGATAGAAGTTAGCGAAATTTCACCTTGAAGTTGGCAAATTTGAAAAAAATCTTCAAAACTTCAAAAGTTTTTTGAAAAAAATAGGGGGCTTGTAAAACGGAGAGGAAGGGGGTTGAATGGTATACACATTCACATATTATTAAATAGTTTTGTAGACTGCTTCATTGAAGTAATAAAAAAGAGTCAGGTTTCGTAGGTTATTGAAATACACATCTGTAAAACACTGATGAGTACAGCTGCCTAAGTAAATTTAATCTTTTTCATGGCTAAGACCATACATATTCTTGAAGCTGCAGGGACCGGCCGGTTCGAACCCAGACCCAAATAAACGATGAATATTCCCGTTGTTTATTGATTTTGTTCAAAGAAAAAGCTAATATACAGTTATATCGTGTCGTCTTCACTTTCTTAGTGCTGTTTAAATTCGAAGATAAACTTGAGTACGTATTCGATCTAATAGGTCCCTAATCAATCGAGATTTTAAATAATATAGGTTTAGTTTAAAAACAAGCGTTTCTTTTTGGGATCAAAATAATTTTAGATTCTAGAATGTCAAGTTTTGTCGGATTGTGTATTAGGATTGCTTGTCCTGAGTAGTACCCATACCTCAGTTATCTACACAGAACTAGAATCTTTCGCAACACTGTTTATGATATAATGTGTACATTCTTTCAGATCAAAATATTCGACGTAATCAAAATGACAGAAACATTTAGTGATGCTTATGATGAAAAAATTCGTCCGCTTATGGACAGAATCGATCAAGCACGATCGTTGTTATCATCAAACATGGATGGCATTAAATTTCCTAGCGTTGTTGTCGTTGGTGATCAGTCAAGTGGTAAATCAACATTGTTGGAAGCATTATCTTTAGTCGAACTTCCAAAAGGTTCCGGTATTGTTACTCGATGTCCATTAGTATTACGATTACGTAAATCAAATGCACGACAAGTATATCGTTTACATGATGATAATTCAAAAACTCCACTTGATGAGTCAACATTAAATATCTTAAAATATATCGAAGAAGAAACTAAAAAATTAGCTGGTAATCAGAAAAACGTTGTTAATAATTTAATTGAATTGCAAGTAGAAGATCCCAATGTACGCGATTTGACTGTTGTGGATTTGCCTGGTATAGCACGAAATCCTATTGCTGGTCAGCCTAAAGATATTCATAAACAGACAACTAATTTAATTAAACACTTTATTAAACAAGAAGGCAGTGTCATTTTGTGTGTCTTTCCAGCTAATGTAGATGTTGCAACAGTTGAATCATTTACATTAGCAAGTGAAGTCGACCCAAACGGTGTTCGAACAATTGGTGTTATCACTAAATCGGATTTGGCTACAAATAATGATACGCTAGTGCAACAATTATTAATGGAACGGGCTGATGTACTTCATTTGAAGTTAGGGTTTGTTGCTGTTCGTAATCGTAGTACCGAAGAAAAAATCTCGTTAGAAGAAGCTCGTAGACGTGAGAAAAAATTTTTTCGTGAACATCCTGCATCAACTGCAGTCGGATGGCATTGTCTTGGCATTGAAGGATTGATTAATCGTTTGGCCGATTTATATTCAGATCGAGTAAAAGAAACATTTCCGAAAATGAGAGATGATGTACGAAAGAAATTGAAGGACATTCGTGAACAGTTATCAAAATTTCCGGTAGATCTTGACACACCTTCTGCACGTTTAGCAAAATATTATGAATTGACTGACATTTATGTCGAACATATTCTACAAGTACGTTTTAACAGTTCGAACGATGGTCAGCGGCTAAGTATGGTCAATATTTTACATTCAAAATTAACGAAATTTGAAGATATCATAGGCACTCAAACTCGACAACTTTTCTCGGCAAAGTACCGTGCGAAAGTTCGAGATGCTATGTCGGCATGTTTTGGTGAACAATTACCAAACTTTTTGCCACATCCTGTTTTGAAAAGGCTCATTTGTGAAAAACTCGATCAGCTTTCGAATGTAACAGGTGTACTCATCAACGAATGTTTCCAAATAACATTGGATATTTTAACAAAAAATGATACTGATGCATGTAAAGGTGATATGTTAATGCTAAAACTGTTACCATCGTTTCGTCAAATTGTTCATTCGTATGTATCTGAGAAACAACAAACTGTGCACAATCAAGTCCAAGAATTAATTCGATTGGAAAAACACGATCCGTACACAATGAATAGTAGTTATATGAATACCATCAATAGATTTAAAGAGCATTTAGTAGAATCAAATTCAAGCAAGAAAGCTGACAAAGTAACATCTTCTACGTTGCCGATCGATACTGACGACGAAGACATGTTTGATGCAATTTCGAATGATGATCAATCAGTACAAGATATGTTAATTAGTTTACATTCGTATTGGAAATTATTAATAAAACGTTTTGTAGATTATACAGCATTATCTCTACGTGCAGGATGTGTCTTTGACATATGTACTGGTATACGTGACCGTTTAAGACAAGTTCCGATTCAACAATCAGATTTTGTCGATGGTTGTCTCTCTGAAGATACGTTTGTTCGAACGAAAAGAAAACAATTACAACAAACAAGAGACAGATTAGAAAAGGTGGATGTCATACTTGGTGGTAGCGGTGTTGCTATTAATGATGATGTTGCATTTGGAAATTCAATCAATATGGAAAATGTTCCAATAATGACTCTTGATAAACTTGAAGAAGATTTGACTCGTTATGATACGGAAGACCATGCTGGGGTTTCAACGTCTACATGAGATGAATGAGCAAAGGCAGATTCGGGAAGCATTAAACCGGCCCTTTCATCTTCTTCAATGGCGTCTAATGTCCCTTCTACCACAAGTCGTAAACGTTAATCAACAAAAGTTTTATTCAAATTATTCGAGATTGAAAATTTGAAGTTACATTGTTCCGAAACAAGAAATTTTGATTTTTAATTAATAAAATCCACGACTAGAAAAACAAGTTTGGATGTGATCAATAATAGAACAGATAATCTAAATATAAGCAAGTTTATTAAATAACAAGTAACGCTCATCCAAGGACTCGCTTAGCTCTTTCTCGTTGAAAGGTATTTCCTTCACATTTACTGGAAGAACAAAAGAAAATCGTGAAAAACTGATTTTCGATGTTTTTTGACCTTTCACCCATCCTCACCTACCCACCTCATCATGGTCCCTCAATAGACGTCAGATTCGAACTTCCCGCATCGAATTACCTCTAGAAATGTCTTTTCCTGAAAATCCGTTTTCGATGTTGTTTTGACATTTCACCCATCCTCACCCACTCACCTCTAACTGTAGCCACCCAACAGACCCCAGATTCCAAGTCCCCACATCGAAATACCTCTGCAAATGTCTTTTTCGGCAAACTGGTTTTCAATGTTTTTTTGACCTTTCACCCACACCCACCCACCCAACCCTAACCATAGTCACCCAACAGACCTCAGATTCGAACTCCCCGCATGGAAAAACCTTCAGAAATGTCTTTTTCTAAAAATCGATTCTCGAATTACCCTCTGGTAAAACTTTCTTGGAACTATCTTTAAGGTTAATAATACTAATTAATTATTTATTGATTTTTAACTAAAATTAATCTCACATTCGAATTCTTGGCACTCGATTACCCTTCGGTCAAACTTTTTTCGAAAATTAATAGTATCAATTATTAACTGATTATTAACTAATTAATTTTAATAAATCAATCTCAGATTCGAGTTCTCCATACTCGATTACCCTTTGGTCGAACTATTCCGAAAATATTTCAAAAATTAATAATATTAATTATTAATTGATTGTTAACTAAAAATAACCTCAGATTCGGATTCTCCACACTCGATTACCCTTCGGTCAAACTTTTTTCAAATATTAATAATATCAATTATTAACTGATTATTAACTAATTAGTTTTAATAAATCAATCTCAGATTCGAGTTCTCCATACTCGATTACCGCTTGGTGAAACTTTACTCGAACATATAATAATACTAATTATTAAATGATTATTAACTAATTATTAACTAGTTAATTTTAATAAACTAACCTCAGATTCAAGCTCCCCACCCTCGATTACCCCCCCCCCCCGCCAGTCAAAGTTTTCCGGAAGTATCTGAAAAATTAAATTTCAATGTTTTTTTGACCCTGCGGACAGACAAGCAAGCAAGCAAGCAAGCAAGCAAACAATTTATTCTTACTGGACTCTTCTCTTACGAGAAAGAGAAAAATAGTAGTAAGATAAAAAAAAATAAGACTTTAGTTCCATTGAATATAAAATATATCGAATTTTTGAAAGATTGTATAATTCTTAAATAACTTCTTTGAATCAATCATTTCATATAATTTTTCAATGAGATCATTTGTTCCCTCTTTGACTTGAATACAAACTTTCATTGGATGAGACATTTTATTCTTTTTGATTCTGTATAATATCCAATAAGTAACTCTTAAAAAATCACAATTTGAAATTATTTGTATTGAAAATGATTTCATTTGTGGAAAAAGACCAATAATGAAATCGACATCATCACTACCTTGTGCATTTGATATTGTTACATTTGTAATCTTACTGTTTTTTACACATCGACGAAGTTCAATCATATCTTTTTTAGCATCAAGAAATTCGTCTGGATGTGTTAAAAATGTCACGCGTAACATCATTAAATTTGGTAATAATTTAAGAATTTTAATAAATGTTCTCATAGAATCGATCGAACATTTAATTACTAATCGAGTTACATTAATAATTTTAAATAAACTCTTAAATCGATTAATATAAACTTGGTTTTTATTCAAATTAATTATATTTAAATTCACACCAGGACAAGAATTTCTGTTATAAGATAAATGTTCTTCAAAATCATAAAATTTTTGGCTAAAAAAGTACAAAAGAAATAATAAAAAATAAACTTGAAAAATCGATGCATACCTATGAGGAAAAATCGATGCATACCTATGAGGAAAAATCGAATAATCAATTTCATCATCATCAACTACAATTCGAAATATCCATTGTTTTTCCATCCAAAATGGTAAGAAATAATTCGAAATTGTTTTATGATAATCAGTTATCTGAAAACGTTCGTCCATCTTTTCCTGCAAACAAAGAGTAAATCTTTCTAAATTCGGCATATTCTTCCGAATTAATTCTTCCCATCGATTTGCATCTAAATAACTTATATCTCTATCAGAGACAGTCACACTTAATATTTTTAATTGTAATGGTAATTTTGAAAGTAATGCTTGACATAAATCACATGAAAGATCCATAGTACATAGATTGAAAAGAACTAAATTGTTTAGTTTTGGAAAGATTTCGGTTGAATTTGTTAATTCAAAATCCAAAATATTAAAACAATATAAATGAGTTAATCGAGGTGTATAAGAAAGTAGATGAAAAAATTGATCAAGAGTTAAATAATGAAAGAAAATGAAGAATTCAATTGATGTATATTGTTCATTTGTTGCTATTGGAAGAGTTAAATCAGAGACTTCAAAATCATCGATTTCTACTCTAAGATATTTTAAGAAAGGTAATTGAAATATAAGTTGATAGATATCACCAATATCATCTTCACAAGAATCAAAGAAAATTTGTAATGAAGAAAGACGCGGTAAGGTTTTCAAATAGAAATGAAGGTCAACAAATTGAATTGTTGAAATATGTTTAAGAATAATCGATTCTAAATGATTAAATGTTGAGTTAATTGGAGATAATTGAATGAATTCTTCATAATACAGTTGATGATCACAATAAAATGAAATAATACGATGTTTATTAGGGAAAATATATCGTTCATAACGATCGTTGATTGTTAAATTTGATTGAAATTTGAATGAAAATTGAACTTTTAAATAGAAAGTTGAATGTGTTATGAGATCTTGAAAACGACAATTTAAGTTTGAAAATGAATGATAAATATCACAACCATCTAAATAATCAAATATTTCGTAGAAAATTTCATTTGATAAATTTTCAATATGATTAAGTATTTCTCTATAGAAACAAAGAATTTTTTGCAAATGAATTTAATAATTTAGATTTCTTACTTTTTCTCAGATAATACTCTAGACATAATTTGTTTTCTGAGTTTACTTTTTTCTTGACTGATTGGATACAATAGGTGACGTATTAAAATAGATAGTTATCGTTCGTTTTGTTTTAATTCTTTCTTTTCCTTTCTATAGGTGGTGTTAGTATATATATTTCGCATATATATTTCTTTCGTTTTCTTTAGGGTGTGGGTGAGCGTATCTTATTTATCTTAACTACAGCCACATCCACGCTCTCAAGAAAATGTGTAATAAAGTAGTAATTAAATTGTTCACTTTAATTAATTTATACACTTTTCGATTGATAAATCCTTATTTCTCAAGATAAGTAAGTCCAGTCCTACAAGAAAATTCTAGAGTGCGCTCAAATCGATATCAGTAGTTGTCAGAATTTCCAAACATTTCGTGTTGTCGAAAAGGATAGTTGTGCTCAATTTCGTGGTAATTACAAGGATGTTATAATAAGACGTATTCTCATGGATATGACACTAGTCGAAAACCATAGTTGCTATAGAGAAAATTTAGTAATTACTATTCAATTTTCAAAGTTTCTCAATAGTTGCACAAAAATGACAATTACAGAGAAACTGCAACAGTAAGAAAGAAATTCAAGTAATTACTAGAGAAGATTATAAAAAGCGTTGCATTTTGGTTCACAACATACAACACATTTTTTTGCTATACATGTGAAACATGTTAAAAGCATAGTTCGAATCTACTCTTCTATATGTCTGTTACTTTTTTTGTAGTGTGAAATCGATAGATTTTAAGATACAGTTGTTTCCATGGATTGTCTCCGAGGAATTTGTAGTTAATATATGTAAATCTTTTATAATGCTATTAAGATCTCCGTTAACACACTGATCAACAATCTAATGAATTAGCCTCGTTATTATGATCTTTTTTTCTCTTCTGCACTTATCTTTGCATACAATCTCGTTGTCCATTTTATGTCTATACATATACTGACAAACATCGAACCACAGTACTATGTGTCATTTTATATCGTTTTATACCTCCAACGAAAACAAAATCAAATCCTCAAATGAATGTTGAGTATTTATTCTTCTTTAAGGATATATAAATCTTTGTTCAAATGCAGTGAAAACAAAAAGGATCAGTAAAATAAAGATCTTAGAAAATGTTAGTGATTTTTATTTATTAACAAAATAGATATTTATAATGGATTATTTTTGTTCTAATTTACTCGGCAAAATGACTACGAATCATTCAAACACACAACTTGAAGAATTTGAAATCAATTAAGTTTACAATTGTGATGATTTTTATAAATCCAATGCTGAAGTCAGCTATATCAATCTTGAAAAGGGTCTTCTTCTATTTGTGTATCTACATGAAAGTAGTAGTAGTATTCCGAAATCTAATGTACGCATATACAATAAGCTATGTGATGGTCAAATTTGTTATTACACAATTGTATCGAATGGATTTCATGATCCATATTACTGCTCTTATGATCATTTTGAAGCTTATCACCAACAAAATTTGTGTAAAGAATGGTATACATGAAATTGTACGCGACTGTTCTGCAAAAAACAGCATTTTTTTATTTCTACTAATGTTAAACGTTACATCAACAATGAGACAGATTTAAAAGTATGGAATTTAATTCGTTGCATTCGTCTATTCGCTCGTCATTTTACTCAGTCATTCAAACATTGTATCGTGAGATCATCGTAATTATGGTGCAGATTATCGATTGTGCATTTCAAGATATCGATAAGTTACGAATGTTTCTAGGTGGACGAATAGTCAATCAATTAAATAAGAAAACTCTACAAGGACTAGCCGAAGAAACGTCATATTATGTACCAATAGTATTTCTGACTCCAGAGAAGATTAAATTCACGAGTACGTGGTATACTCAGTCGTTATGTAAAGTTAGCATTAATTTTGGAAATTTATCACGAGAATTTACACAGTACTTATATGATCAATTTCATAAATATTACTGTGAACCATTGCAGGATCATGGCAATTGATTGTATAAATAAATAAAATAGTGTAGAACTGCATCTCAAAAAAGAGACAATACATGCTGATTATATTTTATCTGCTTTCAGAAAAAATAAATAATCATGATTATCTTATAAATGACAACATCGCAGTTCAAATGTAATGAGTGAAGGTGTGCTACAGTATAGTCATCACATCTATCCATACTTACACCTGCATTCTTTTTTTCTGAAAAATGTAGAACAAAAAATCATAGTTAAACTTTTTATTTTGATGCACTTAACATGCACAATGTTTTTTATATCATAAGAGTTTCATAATTAATAAAATTTCTCTTTGACGCTCAAAAGAAAAGAAAATAAATAGAGATAAAGATTTTTTATTCCAATTAATCTCGATTCATCTTAACTCTAAACAGGATATCCATATATTTTGAAGCATCTATTAACTCACGCACATCATTTTATATATATTTTCTTAAAGATTATTAATGATCTATCAAATACGCATATAACATTTCATTTGAAAAAATCAAATGTCTTCGGATATTGATAGAGCTCTTTATATATTCAGTATTAGTGATGATTTATATATAACTTTCGGTTTATTTGTAATAATAATAACTACAATCGGTAATTTATGCAATTGTTTTGTATTTTTTTATATTCCACCATTAAATAAACATCCAAATGCATTATTTTTGATCAGTACATCCATAGGAAGTTTATTATTTATAAATACCGGTTTATGGACAATTATTATTCGAATATTAACTGGAATTGATTACATGAATCGATCATTATTTTGGTGTAAAACAAATGCTTGGTTAACTTATTCAGGTGGTTGTTTTAGTTTTATGTGTAATTGTTTTGCAGGTTTTTGTCAATTTCTTATATTATTATCAAATACTGAATGGCTAAGATTAATAACACGTACGAGAGCAAAATTAATAATTATATCTATCGCTATTATTTATCTTTTAATATTTATTCCAATACCAATATATAATACGAATTTTCAACCATCATCAGCAACATATGTTTGTAAAAGTTCATTTCAAATTATAAATGTCTATAGTAATTATTGGATAATTATTGGCTATTATTTTATGCCAGCTTTATTAACATTATTGTTATTTACTTTAATATGGTATAATTTTCAACAATTTTTACGACGTCGTCATTGTATAGAAGGTGTTGTAACGCGTATGATACTTATACAAATGAGTAGTATATTAATTAGTGGAATTCCAGCAGGTATATTTGTTTGTTATATAATGGTTACACAATCCATGGTTAAGACACGTATAAGAGTAAGTTATGAATTTCTTATTTTAGTGATTCTTACATTATTTACTTTTTTAACAAATGGTACATCATTTTGGATTTATTTATTCTTTTCTAAAACATTTCGAAAACATTTGAAAGAATTTATTTTCAAATTCAAATTCTTTAATCATCGAATACAACCGATTTCTTTAGTTGACAATATCAATAAAAACATTTCAATGAATTAATTTATTTGTATATATTAAATTTTATATTGTAAATCTGTCATAAATAATTTAAATATATATATTCATCTTGAGGGTGGGTGTGGATAAAAGAAGACTAAAACACTCATACTTACCCTCAAGAAAGAAAAAAAAAGAATAAAAGTTTATCTTAATGATGTCATTTCTGTTACATTGTAAAAAATGATGATGAGCTTTATCAACGATTGTAAAAGGTAACTCAATGTATACATGTAATTTCACAATCGATTGTCAATTACTACATACATTGCAACGGTATGTATATATAAGAAAAGTATAATAACGATGCTCGCATACTTGTTTTTTTTTCTGTTAAAAGAAAAAGATTATCATTATTGATTTTAAACTTTCTACCATAAATAATTTTCAATGTCTACTATTATAGCAGAAGAAATAGTTGCTCCAATCAGTAAGAATGAAATGTATTTGGATTATGTGAAACAAGCTACAGTTGGAATTCTAATGGGTGGTTTACGAGTTGTAGCTACACAACAAAAACTTACACCAAATGAATCATTGGCTGTATTTTTTCATCCATCAAATACAGACTCATTGAATATAATGAATGATCTGTTACGAAAATATATTCAAACATGTTGTGATGAATTTTGTTGGATTTATGACGATGTTTATATTAAGACGACAATTCCTTTAAAAGAAGCTTTAGATTTAAATGGTGCTCATTATATTTTCAGTCATTTCAATAAAATATTTCAAAATACTCGTTCAAATCTTACTCCTGGTCCAAAACATCTCAATTGTTTGGCTATGTGCACAGCAATTAATTATATGCCATTACTTTTCTCAACAATTTCTACTCAATATAAAGAACATTGTCTAGTGGGAACAAGAAGTAGTCATGATGGAAATTGGAGTGAAGCTGAAAAAAATGTAGTCCGTGTGATATTACAAGAACTTGTTCAAAAATCAATCGATTGGTTAAATACAAATAAACAAGAAGAATTAAAAAAAATGCCATTTGTTTGTCAAGAAGATGATAGTTGTAATCAAAATTGGGATCTATTTAACTTTTCTCAAAATAAACGAGTAATTGCTGTTGCAAATATAAAAAAACTCTGGAGTGAACTTGAGCAATAACAAAAAAATCATCTTGAAAGTGGAACTATGAGGGCAAATGAACACATCACAACTCGAATTCATGTGGTTTCATTTTTTTTTATTATTTATTATAAAAAAAAATAATCATTATCTCTACAACAAATAAAACTTGTTATCGACTATTTTTATTGAAGATTCATTAAGAAACATTTTTGATAAAATCAAAAGATTTCTACTTTTCCATCCACATTGTATTCACTCCAAGAATACATAAAGATAATAAATGATAATTGCTTTGATTCGTTTACGATATCTATTCTTTATTTATTACCATACCCACACCAACACCCTCACCTACGCCTTCGACTATGATGTGGATAGAATGAAAAAAAAAATAATATTAAAATAAGAAGGGTGAGAGTGTGAGAAAATGTGGTCGTGAAGCACAGTTTT